GAAACTCTATTTTCTGCTCAATTCTGTTGTGAACCTAAAACTGCTCTAAAAGAATAAAGTCTATTTAATAATAATAATAATAATAATAATAATAATAATAACAATAATAATAATTAATAAACCTAATTACCTCCCCCCAAATTTTTTAAAAAGCAAAAATAAACCAAAAACTAGTAAAAACCAAAAAAGATAAAGATAAAAATAGAAAAAAAATGCATGTAAAGACAAAGATGTTTAATAAGTGGTAGTTTTCTTTTAAAAAAAGATAAGCCCTAATAACCAGCAGCTTGAAAACCTTACAATGTCCTACAAACAAAAAGATAATGTACAAAACAGGTCTCATAAGAACCTAAGAACAAACACTCTTGGTTTTGGTAGAAGAGGAACATCTGAATTCAGCTACTCTAGGACTCCTTCCAAAGTCAGCCTGCCAGCTGATTCTGTGCAACTCAAATTGGCTTGAGAAATAGTTTCAGATGCTGCCTTGAAATCAGGTGCTCTCGAATCATAAAGAAACAATCCAGTTTTTACCATGAAGACAACCCTCATCCTCTTGGAAATCCAGATAATCAAAAGTTCATCATACTTCGGAAAATTGTGAGTCAGTTCAATCAGTGGTTAGCAGTCTCTGCAAGTCCCAGAGAAGGCCCTCACAGATTTGGGGGGTACTGGGGAGGGAGGAAGAAACTTCACATTTCCCTGCATGAGAACAGACAGGGCCTCTGGGCTTCTGGTTTCTGCAGGCATGAGGAGGCCAGGTGTGCAGCCAGGAATTTGATCCCCCACAGAATTTTTATGCATCTCTTCAAAATCTGCCAGACAAATTCAGAGGTGGCTACGATGTAGCTGGTCAGTGCCCAGGATGGTATAAGCTCCCTCCAAGACAGAATCTAGAAGGGCACAGAGAAAGTACTTCTCACCTTGTGACCGAGCAGGACCCTATGGGGCCTTCCTGCCACAGACCCCTCCCCCACATCCTCTTCTGTAGCTCCTCTCTGAAGCACCCAGATAATAGTATCTGATGCACCTTTCCTGAATTTTTCAGATGCTAAAACCACCACCAAATGGAAGACATTAACTACTTGATGATCATGAGCACGTAGCTCCCAGACCTTCTGGTGCCTAAGGATTGACAATGTTAACCAGCCTGTCACCGCACCATCAATGAATCAGAGAATTGTGCACAGCTGATCACATACCTGGGCCCCCCCCCCCGCCTCCTCCCTCACTTTGCCTTTAAAAATGCTATGCTGAAACCCTTTCAGGAGTTTGAGGTTTGAGGGGCATGAGCCACCAGTCCCCCTTGCTCGGCCCTGCAAAGAACCTTTCTCTGCTCCAAGCTCCAACGTTTCCATTCTTTCATCCTCACCATATGTCTGGCACTGGGTTTGGTAACAACCTCGCCTTGTACGGAATTACCCAATGTCTGACTTAAAGAAAAGAATTATCAAATAGACACTATTTTGTCTTTCTCGTGGAGGCAGTAGAAACATGAGCTTTGAGGTGATGAGGAAGAAAAAGTACCATGTAGACCTTACACAGTATCCCCTCAGCTTCAACCTGTGTAACTATACAGTAGAGCAAGGAATCACTGTGTGATTTTAATTAAAGAAAAGCTTTTCATTGTGGCTGTTCTCCCAGAGGAAATGGCAACATATTTTAGCTGCTCATATTAAGGGACAAAGAGAAGTCATCCCAGAATATCAGAGGTGGCAACATACCCTTTGAGATCAACTCCACCAGGGTGTTACCACGACCCACTAGCGCCGCAGTTATCAAAGCTAAGTGAAATGAACCACCACGTTTCACGGAAAGACCAGAACACAATAAAGTGGACCGCAGAGCCCTGCCCATCGGAAGGGCAAGCATTGTTTCATGACACTTTCTTTCAATTGTGTTTGCGTAGTGTGTGTGCGCTGGGTAACAATATATCTATTTATTTCCCTGCAGGATTTTACAGAGTTTGAAAAAGGTAGATCTGCATGAGTGAGTCAACTTCTGGAGAGAATCACAAAGCCTTTTGAGAATCATGTGAGAACAACAGACCTACTTTCCCTGCAAATACATATCCTCACAATTCTAGGTGCAATTTCAGGGGGTGAGCCCAGAATCTGGGTGAAGAATTCTCAAAATAGGCTACATTTTTCTTTTTCCAGGTGAAGCCTAAAAAGGTTATTATTCCCCATATAGGAAAAAGCTTGGGAAAGACACTAAACATCTCTGTGGACATACAGCCCAGGCGTAAGGAGAAAATCCTTTCAACAAGTGAAAGGTTGTTTTGGAGAAAATGTTATTCTTTCCATTAATAAAAGAGAAAACGAAGGCTAAAACAACTAGTGTGCGGATAATGCCTTGCATAAAGCATTTGTTCAATACATATCTTATGCAACAATGTATGAATCTGTTTATTGTAGATCTAGAAATTAAAATCCCTTAAGCAAGATTTGTTAACATTCAAAAAATAAGCAACATAAAATTGGGTACCTTTTTTGCAGTTTCTCACGTGGGCCATTTTCTCTCTGGTACAAACAGCCAAATCCACGAAGTCTCGTCTGAGTTTCCCACCTCTTTCCTTGAAGGTACATCCAGCATCACCAGCAGAAATACCATCTTCATTTAAAACATGAAGAGAACACCGTAATCTCTCACATTTCACGCCAGTGGTATCGCTTACAAGTACTCTAGCAAAAATGCATCTAGGAAAAAAATGCGTCTAGAACCAAAACTCAGACTGCCCACGTGGCGGGAAACAATCATAACTCTACGGAAGTCTTCAGCCTGAAAATTGAAAATTGTGAAGGAAGCACGGCATGTTTTGTTAGAAATACCAGACCTTGGGTGAGTCCCACCTCATAACATTTGGGCTGGTCTGATTATCCACTTGGCTAAGGAGGAGGCTCTGTCTCCCCACAGAAGCTCCACACCCGTTTATGGACGGCCCGTCTCCATCTCCCTCTTTGATTCTTTTAGCTCTTATGTAACACCCTGAAGACTAACAACTGCACCAACTTCTGCACAGATGGGGCTGAATCTCTGACCTTTCCCAATCACAAGAAGAGAAATGCCCAGACACTACCACCAGTTTTTTGTGTGTGTGTTTGTTATTTTCTTCACTTTTTTTTAAATGGAGGTACTGGGGATTGAACCCAGGACCTCATACATGCTAAGCATGCGCTCTACCACTGAGCTATACTCCCCACCCCTGCCATCAGGTGTTATGCTAGACCATTCCCCTGAGAATGAAAGCCAGCATTTCACCATGGGAGAGACCACTTACCTGTTAGGTTCTAGAAAATGAGAAATTAAAATCTGTTTCCAGATGAATATTTTCTTTTTCAATGAGTATGAAGAGATGCTAATTTTTTCGATACAACGTGGGCACTTTTAAAATAACATGAGAATATAAATTTTATACTACTACATTATTATTACTACGAAGGAATATGACTAACAGTGTGACAGATCTCTAGGACTCTGACTTGATCACTGTCATAGACATTGTAGGCAACTACCCAAATGGCATTACCACTTGCCCAGAACTGCTGTCCACGCCTTTCTCCGCAGAGTCCAAGCCTCCCAGGAAAATCACAAAATGTACTTAATTTTTTAAAATTGGATTATTCTCACTAGATTACCCATATCATTTACTGCTCTTGGTTTCAAAAGACGTTCAGTGGTTTCTAAGAATTCAATACCGTAGAACAGGAGTGGCTGGGGGAGGGGCAAACAGGGAGTTACTGTTTGCTGGGTACAGAGTTTCAGTTCTGCAAGATGAAAAAAGTTCTAGAGATGGATGGTGGCGATGGTGGCACAACAATGTGAATGTCCTTGATGCCACTGCACCGTCCCCTTAAAAGTTGTTAAAGCGGTCCATTTTACCTTACGCATGTTTTACTACAATTTTAAAAAATAAATAAAAATCCAATCTACCCTCTTAGGATGAAGGATTTCCATCGCTTGCTAGTCACAAGAATGTGCAGCAGATGTGGAAAGAAATTCCAAAGAAAAGTTGGAATAACACTTGAATGGTGGCGGTAGTGCTGGAATTACGAGACAATATATTACTGTTGTGTAAGTCGCCCAGCCTGCGGTTCTGTGTGGGCAGCCCTAGCAAGCCAGTGCATCGGGCATGCCAATTTGCATGGTGCGGTGGGGCTACTTGGAGCAGCATGCTGACAAGTATCCTGAAGCCAAATCTGGTGATGTCTATCATGGATGGGGAAGGAAGAAGGGAGAGGAGGCAACAGGCATGCCCGGTTTCTACCCTCCCTGCAAGGCAATGGTATTGGCACTTATGTCATAAAGAATTTTAAAATATATTTTCAAAATTATTCTGTAGGGAGCAAGGTATAGCTCAGTGGCAGAGTGCATCCTTGGCATGCACAAGGTCCTGGATTCAATCCCCAGTACCTCCATTAAAATAAACAAACAAACAAACCTAATTACCTCCCCCTGCCCCAAAAATATAACATGAAAAAAAAAGTATTCAGTAAACAGGCAGAATCAGAAAAACTAACTTCCTAATGTCTGTGGCTTCCCAATTGCTAAGCACTGTCAGGAAATACAGGGGCAGAGTCTGTGTTTGGAAGCCCCAAAGAAACACAACAAACAAGTGGCATCCTTCAGGAAAAGGAAGATGGGAGGCCCGAGGAGTGACCCTGTACCATAAGGCTTAGCAGACTGGAACAGGACTGGGTGGAACAGACTGAGCTGCACTTACATTTCTGGGAAATCCTGCTTGTTCCCACGGGGCCGCTGCTAGAGGATACCTCACTGTCACCGAGACCAACAGATGGAGGCTAAAATGGGAAAAAAGAAAAAAAAAAAAGTTCGGCCAGATTTAGGATGTTAAGTCACAAATTAAAACATGATCACAAGAAGAGTAGCACATGCTATGTCATTAGATTACCAAGAGCTAGTAAATGAATGTTAACAGGCAAGATGTTTGAAAGAGGAGACGAGATTGCCCATTTTAGGGGGGGAGGGGCTAAGGACAAGCTATGGTTTTCCGCATTCATCAGTCTTTGATTTCAGTGCCAACTGTGAGCCAGACACAGCCTTTAGCCCCTGGACACGGAAAGAGGCAGAGGTGTGATCCTTGTGCCCAAGGAGCTCATCAGACCGAAGGCGGTACAGGCAAGAGCAGACCTTATGCTTTTGCGCTGCACAGACGTGGGGCCTCCTGTGTGAACGTGCCTGGAGCGAGAAAATTCATTGGGCCCGAGGACCTGGGCCACCAGCTGAGATGATGACTCTCCTGAATAAACTGTCCAAAATTAGTTCACAGAAGAGGTGAACGGGACCATCAATATTTTCTCTTTACAGTAACTACTTCTCTTTGTTCTAGAATGTATACATCTGGGCCTGCTAGAAAATGGATACAGATCAAGGGAAGACGTCTGCGTGACAGTAAAGGCATAATGACCAGACTATTCAGGTGAACATCTTTAGTCTAAGAGACTGCTCCAGATACTTAGTTGTAACATCACTCAAAAATTGCTGATTTGCCGCTCAATTCAACGCAGCTGCCTACATTTAGGAAGGAGCCCTACACGCAGTGCTTGCTCAAGAAACAGTAGTTGATTATCTATGACCTTCGTGTTTGAGATTATTTTTATATATGAATTAAAAACACGGATCACATTCGATTATCTGCCATAAAATGGTCCCTTTGACGATAGGGGCATTTTCACCAGGAGACCAAATGAAGGAGTTAAAACTCAGGAAGCAGAAGAGAAGGATACACTTGCCTCCAATTTTCAGTCCTATTCACTGGCTAAAATAGCGACATTAATTAATATCTTAGACGAATTCCCCAGCAAGGTGGGGGGCGGGGGAGAAAGCCTGGAAAGACTCAAAGTTGAGAGAGACGATAACCCAGTACTTCCTAGCAGAGAGGAGGAGATATCTGCAGAGGAAGGAGACGTCCAGGAAGGAGGCAGAGGTAGGAGAGAGCAAGACTCTGTCGGCTAACAGGTCTACCAACCGAAGGGGAGGCGTGCAGGCGCCCCACCTCCGCGGCGCTGGGGCTGCGGGCCCTGCCCCGTGCCCTGGCGCGGGCGCGTCCACTCATGTTCCGGATGAGCGCAGAGTGGCTTCAAAGGCAGCCAAGTCTCAACCACGGTATTTTTTCCACTGGCATCCAGATGGCGAAGCTGCAACGGAGGCGGTGGGGGTGGTGGGTGTCTCGCCCTGGGGAAGGAACCGCAGCCGACGCTCAGACGCTCAGGCGTGGGTGGAGGGGCGCGCACAGCCCGCCAGGTGCCCGCGGTGGGAGGGGCGGGGGTCAGAAGGGGGGAGCGCGTGGGCGGGGGGGGGCTCAGACTTCTTGTCCCCACCCTCCACTCCTCCCCCTCCAAAAATTGGCATTATACAGCTTTCTGGGTTTTGCCCATGACGTGTTTATAAGGTTTCATCTCACTGTTACTTTTCTTTCTTTTCTGCTGGCAGGTGTGGGTAACCACCCCTTCATAGGCGTGTTTGCTGTGGAGTTTTCTGTGAATTGTCTTTATATCCATTACTGTTTTAAACTGGATTTCTCATGTTTTTTCTGGTGATTTGGAAGAAATTTTTTTAACATTGCAAATATCTACTTATAATTTATTACTCGTTAATTTTAACTATGAAGTTCTTTCATCAAAATTCTTAATTTTTATGTAGTCAAATCTACTAAATTTTTTTACCATTTTTTATTGATTTATAATCATTTTACAATGTTGTGTCAAG